TAGCTGAAGCTGGAGAAACTTCGTTAACCTTTATTAACGATACAGCGCTATGTGTTGTGTAATTAAAACTGACAAGCGTTTCGCCGTGTTAGCGAGCAGGCAGTCAAATTTACTCGTCTATGGATATGTGTGTACACAGAGAGAATATTAGAGCTTCTTTGATCCTTTTTTATTGGGTGTGTAAATGAGGTTTTTGTTTTCTTTGAAAGCTCAACCTTTTACTTAATCGCCATCTTCTGCTCCTACAATCAGAATCAGTCTGACAATGACGAGTCGCCTAGGCTATTTGTTTAAAAACAATTTAAATGGGTCAACAAATAATCTCTTTACACAACTCCTTAGATTTCAAAATTATTCGTTGTTATGTACAAAAATTATTTCAATTGTTATATGACCAGAATTTGTTGTTATTTCTTAATGATTTACTTGTACTATACTTAATAATACAAATTATTTTAAGTTCATTAAAACACAATTTGATACATTTTTTGACCGAACTACATTTTTGAGAAAGCACTACTATTATTTTGAGCACAGCTGCACGTGTATACAGAATTCACCAGTTTTTCTCTCAGTGCATGCATGTAGCACCTTTAACCCTCTGTATGACTTAATAATTTCATGCGCGTGTGTGCCATTTAAAATTAACAATTACTTTTAATTGGCAGCCAGGCTTAAAATTAGTTCAGTCAGAAATAGACGTTAAAGGGTAACGTTCGCCTGCTTCAGTTAATTGCCAGCCATCGTCTGCCAAACGCCATACACGTACACACACACACACACATACACATATACGCATAAATATCTTGCCGCCTCTCATTGTGCCACATTTCAGTCAACACTTCAAGCTTCATTGGCGACCAATGTTGTGTCAAGTCAAATGGGCAAGAGTTTTCTGATTATATTGCGACATTTTCTTTGCGCCTCACCACCTCGCACCACCTCGCACCACCTCGCACCACCGCGCACCACCAGTCCACCAGAGCACATCAAAGTTGTCAACAGCATTGCGCTTAGATTAGATTGCTGCATAAACAAACGCGAGGATATCAATGGTTGGCTGCCCAAGTTCCGCGTATCCTGCGCATCCTGTCCCGGCCGAGACTAACGTCTAACGTAGTTGCCTCGTTTGATATTTAGACGAGCAGCGTAGCGCGCAAAAGCGAAAAGTAATTTTCTTAAGTGAATATAAATGTTTAAAATCTTTGCCCAATAACAACAACGACAACAACTGGATGGGCTCTTTGCCAGACCAGCAACCAAAACAACAACAACAACAACAACAACATTGAAATTTAAAAAGCAAAGCAGCCAAGGCTGGCGCTCAGTCAACAGCAAATATACTTAAAGTTTTATGCGAAATTTCAAGTTAGCAACATAAATAGGTGACTTGTTGGCCAACTCGCCCAACCTGCCCGTTCCCATTAAATATAAACGGTGCAAGTTTTTCCAAAAAGGTGTTAAGATTTGAGCACAAGATTTGGCACAGTTCGTCGCGTATTGATTGAGGGGTTGCTGAAAGCTGAACTTGTGGCTGGCTCAAAGCAAAGAGTGGGAGGGGAACTTTAACGACTTCTGTTTAATCCTATAACACTAATCTTAATTTATTTACAACAACCTCCAAGACCTCCAACTGTGATTCAAGCTGTATTTAAATAAATTTAAAGAAAAAATCCCTATTCTCTGACCATTTATGGAAGAGCTTTTATCAGTAAGTTAAAAATAACTTACTAACTGACTTATACATCTTATCTACTATTAAAGGCTATTCCTTTCTTATTTTGACATTCAACAACTTAATTCTTAGGGCTTGTACAACGATCTTTCCATAAATTGAGAGTTGAGAGTATGTTGTTTAATATGTAACAGTTTTTACAACAGCATTTGCTATTGTTAAATTTATAATAATATAATTTTTTTCATATTTGATGAGTTTGTATAAATGAACCAAATATATGAAAAGCGCTTAATAAATTAATCATTTCAATCCCTCATCGCCATAATTAGTCGCTCGTTTTTGAAAAACAATCACTACTGCAATGATTAATAATATTCTTACCAAAATAAAAACTGTTTAAAATTCAAATTACCACTCAATTATGTAGAATAGGAAATGAGCGGAACAATTGGCTTGTTGTCAATTATTAACTACTTCTAATGGAATTGGCGCAGCTTTTCATCTTTATGCTAACTAATTGTTATTAATATACTTTAAAAATTATCATTCGGGTACATGCATACATTTTCACTTTAAAATAAACGCTTTAAACAAAAACTATGCCCCCAACTGTAAAAGTATCCACTCTTAAACAACAGATTATCTGCAGTTAGGAATTGTGAGCAACAATGGCATGAGGGTCAGCTGTGAAAACACGAATTTACACAAATATGTGTCACAAGTGAAATGCTTGTTAAAATTGCAGAGAATTGTAGAACATGTGAATGAATGTGACGGTAATTTAATATAAACATTGCCAAGGCTGTCCTTTTGACACAATTGGACGCCTGTGGCAGCTGTTCAAAGCGCAAATGAAATTTTCTCGCTAATTAATAGCAAACCAAAAGTCAATTTTTGGCCCCCGGCCTTGCGTAAAGTCACCAATTTGGAAATCAAATTACAGTGCATAATTAAATTGTGCTGTCAAAATTTTGTGAAAAGCGCCTGTCAAAAGCAATATTTATGTGGGCCGCTCCAGTTAGATGGCCGACGTAGGTTTGGGGGCTCGCCAGGGCTGCACCGAATGCTGAATGGCTCGGCTTGTTGCAGCAACTGCCGCCAAGTAGAAGAAGAGGGAGCGCAAAGTTTTAATTGAATTCCTTTGAAAATGCCTCGTAATGGGCACAATCTAATTGTCAGCACAGACCTTACAACGGCGACTAGTTACAGAATATTGTTAAAGCTTTAAATGCTGTCTGCCGCTTGTTGCTTGCTGCTTGTTGCCTGTCGCTTGCTGCCACTGCCACATTATGCAGCCTGCGCTCAAGTGCTTGACAAATTCATTAAATGCACAAAGCGCGTAAAGTGCTGTTAAAATACACACACACACACACACACACACACACACTCACTCACTCACTCACACACACGCACAAACACACACACTCAACTACACAGAAGCACGCGTTCACAAAAACGTTGCAAGCAGGAACATTTTATATGTGCGAGCTCTGACCGTAATTACGCCCCACAGAGCAGGTACGGAAGCAGACAGGGGGCGGGCGCAATGTGGATTCTGGACTCTGAAAATGCAACATTGCTTTTGTGGCAGCTTACATGGACAAGCACGCACTACTCTCACTCTCTCTCTCTCTCTCTCTCTCTCACTCTCTCTCTCTATCTCTCTCTCTCTTCACACACACACACTGTCACACGTGCAAGCCTTATTTATACATGAGTTGTCGCCACTAGGTGTCGCTTTTGGGGGACAGGACGTGCTCGCCCGTAATGTTGGCCGTGTTTGCTTCGTTTTCGCGTATTTTTCAGTGCCTTTTTGTTTTCAAGGCGTAATCAAAAGCGCCCAGGCCGCCAAAATCAGTGACAAATGGCAGTTTTTCCCCCAACTTTCCCGCCCCAACCGCGGCCTGCACCCAGCATTTCGTGTAATATGCAAACAAATTGAAAATCTCCTCAACACTGTCACACACGGCGAATGCGTGTTAATTAAAAAGCCCGCTCGCGTATGTCTGCCGCGTCGTAATTTTTGGGTGTCGTTTAATTAACCGTCATTCATAAAATTTTGACACACACACATTTTAAAATGGTCATAAATGTGCTAATTAAATGGTCTTGTTTGCATTTTCTGCCTGTGCGCTGTTATTAGCTTTTTTGCGAGCGTGTCAAAAGTTATCGCCGAAAATATTAATTAACTTTACATTACGGTCCTTCATCATAATGGCCCATAATTAGGCAGCCAAAAGCACCAAAAAGGCATACTTTTTTACGCTCAGCCAAAACTTTGCTCATTACATTTGTCATTCAGCCGTTAATAATTATCTTTGATCTTACTTTATTAAGTGCCTGTAAATGGACGAAAAAAAACCGGTATCCATTAAACCAAACCATAAGAGTGTCGCTAAAGTATTAACAAAGTTGGACCTGTTAACAAAACTTATAAATAAAATAGGAAATGTAATGAAAAAATTATGAAATTAATCAATATTATTAAAATAAAACTTCTAAAAAACTTCTTAAATATATAGACCGAAAATAAGCGGCACACTTTTTAACTGTTTACGAGATAAATAAATAAATAAATGCGTTGATCCATAATAGAGCAAAGAAAAATGAATTATTTAAGGATATTAATATGGTTACCACACAGACACTCCTTGGTGTAATATTTATAAAATACATTAAAGCGAATTTTTTTTTAAATCTGAATAAAAGAAAATTACAGATTTTTGACACATACTCCGTCGTATTCGCGGCCCGTTGTGGACACCGCATTCGCTTTAATTTTGCACGTCATTGTAAAAATGACAAATGATAATTAAGACAACGTTGGCCGCACAAGAGCCAGATATTTAATTAAAGTTTATAAAAATGAAAATGCAGGAGTTATTAATTTAAAGCGCGGGAAAATGACAACACAAGGCAGCAGCAACAGTAGCAGCAGTAGCAGCAGCGTAAGGTTCAGTTATTGTTTAGCAGCTTAGCTGCTAAGCGCATTTATCACTGCCTTGTCTGCTCCTGTTGTCGCATTACTTACGCGCTGCTGTACGAGTGGTGTGTGTGTGTATATGTGAACATTTGCATTTCCTGCTGTGGCTGTCGTTACTCTTTTGTTGGACACATGCAGGTCGCATTACATCGGGGTGTGTGTATGTGTGTGTGTGTGTATGGATATGCGGAAAAAACAAGAGATAAATCAAGCAGGCAAAAGTTGTTTTGCGGCGGCGGCATCTTCTTGGCAAAGATTCGTTTCATTTTTTTTTTTGTAGGCGACGCCTGTTGGTATGCAACATATTTTTCAAATCCGCCTTTCCCTCTTTCATTGCAGGCCAACACCACAAAGGAGTCGACAAGAGTCCATTCAAGATGTTAGCCAAAGTAGCCGCACCCACGCTGCTGCGGCTGCTGCTTCAGCTGATCTGCCTGCATATGAGCATCGCCGCCTTTGGACGGGACGAATGCAATGAGCTGAACGGCAACTCGTTCTGTCTCTGTTCCCGTTCGATGTCGGAATACGAGATCTATTGTCCGCCGAACACATACAATCCAAAATTCAAGCTGACCATACGCTCCGGCTCAAATGTGCAGATCGAGTGCAATCTGACAGACGCCTCGGAATACAAATCGCTGCCCAAGCTGAGCATCGGCCAGATCGATGGAGTGCAGATCCAACGCTGTCCACTGCCTGGTTACACGCCCATTGCCGGCATACTCGATCATCTAGGCATTGAGAGTCCCAAGATGTTGATATTCGAGAGCAATAATCTGGGCGTGAATCTAACTCGCAAACACTTGGATCGCTTGCACAATCTGAAGCGTCTGCGTTTCACCTCCCGTCGGTTGACTTACATACCCTTCGACTTTCTCAGCGACTTGCGCAATCTCAGTTGGCTGGACCTACGATCCAATATTGTGGAGCTGCCGGCACATTTGTTTGATAATCTGACAAGCCTGGAATTTCTCGAGCTGGGCAGCAACAACTTGCAGCAATTGCCGCACGGCTTGTTCCGGAATTTGCACAAACTTCAGCATTTGAATCTGTGGAGCAATCAGTTGCGCAATCTAACTCGGCACGACTTTGAGGGCGCCGCTTCGGTCCTGGATGTGGATCTTAGTGCCAACGGCATTGAGCATTTGCCAAGGGATGTCTTTGCACAGTTCACTGAACTGAATGTGATCAATTTAAGCGCTAATCGCTTCCACTCGCTGCCCGAGGGCCTTTTCGAGCACAACAAAAAGCTGAAGCAGGTGCGTTTGCTCAACAATCGCGTCTCGATGCCAACGCTGCCGCCACGTCTCTTCGCAAATCTTCCCGAGCTTCACACTCTGTCGCTGCGCTCCGATCTCGAAACTCTGCCGGCCGATTTATTGGATCATTCCACACAGCTTGTGAATTTATCGCTGACCAACAACTATCTGAACATGCTGCCAGCCGGACTATTCAAGCACCAGGTCAACATGCTCAGCCTCAATTTGCGTCGCAATAGGCTCACTCATCTCCCCGACATGCTGTTCGATCATACGGAAAACCTGGTGGATTTGAATTTGGCCGACAATCTGCTAACAGAGATAAGCAAGTGAGTATCCAAATCTTAGTCTTATGAATCAGTATTCAATGAGACCTTCAGAAAATAGTGTGTATATCATTAAGTATACAAGTAGTATTCAAAAAGTAGCCCACTAGTATTCCTTATATTAAAGAGGGGGGTGGATATGCATAGGATGTAGTATTTCAGAAAAGGGCTCAATATACTAACTGGGCTTTTCAAAAAAATGAGCAAATCAATGTGAAAATCAGAAGAGCTGGGAACTTTTGTGCCTTTGAGCTTTGGAAAAACGTGTATTATCGCTGATTGCATTGCAGTTTGAGCATTTTTTTTTATCTTCCCACTGTTTAATCTAAAAGTAGCCCAATACCAAAAGTTATTCACGAGAACGATGTATCAGAAATTCATTTCATGAAGACTAGGTCGAGAAATAAACATTCCAGAAAATAATCTTACGATTGTAAACCGGCATATTTATAGCGCATCTACTTTTTTCGCAGGGATCTGTTTGGCAAACTGACGCGATTGGAACGATTGACGCTGAACAACAATCAACTGAAAATAGTTCATCCAGAGGCTTTCGCAGCCACCACACAGCTACGCTTCATCAATCTGGAGAACAACATGATCGATCTGATGGGCGGCGACATGCAATCGGAGACAGCCACTCCCTTCTCACATCTGGAGCAATTGGAAGTTCTCAACCTGCGCAATAACTCCATCATGTTCATCTATAACGACTGGAAATACAATCTGCTCAGTCTTCAGGAACTGGATCTCGCCTACAACAAACTGAGCCTGCTTGACTACACAGACCTGCAGTTCCTCTCCCGTCGTGATGTCTCAATCAACATCACTCACAATCAGCTCCACAGCATCAACTTCTTCGCCAATCTGGATGTCTCACCCACGAATACTGTAGTGAGTGTGGACCTCAATGATAACCCCCTCTCCTGTGACTGCGGTCTGATGAGATTCGTGCAGTTCATACGCCGCGATATTAATCCGGACTACAGGAATCAGATTGACTTGCAGACCGAGCAACTGAAGTGTGCCGGACCCAGCGCGCTAGCCGACCGTTTCGTAGGGGACGTGGATCCACGAGAGCTGCTTTGTCCATTCGATCAGTCGGTGGATCCGCGCGAACGTCGCTGTCCCCTAGGCTGTGACTGCATGGTCCGAACCTTTGACAAGGCGCTCATTGTCAACTGTTCCTTTGGCAATCTGTCTGCGATGCCTCAGTTGCCAGAGTTGCCACCAAGTCTACACATCATGGAGCTGTATCTGGAGAACAACAGCTTGCAGCAGCTGCCTGCCGGCAACAAGTCGGGCTATGCGAATGTCACCCATCTTTATCTGGCCGGCAACAGTCTAAGCGAAGTGGAAGTCCACCAACTGCCTTCACATCTGCGTAAGCTCGACCTGCGTAACAATCGCCTCCGTTCACTCAACTCTGGAGTGCTCGAGTTCCTCAATCGCACCATGACCAAAAAGTCGCTTTATCTGTCCAACAATCCATGGGTTTGCAACTGTACGGCGAAGGAACTGTTGATCTTCACACAGAACAACTACGACCGGATTGCCGATCGCAGCGACATGCTGTGCGTGGACGCGGAACAACCCACACCCATGGAGGATCTGTCGGTGAACGACATATGCTCCGAGTCCCAGAGAGTGGTCTATGCATTGATTATTGTTGTCGCACTGACCGCCTTTCTGGTCAGTCTCACAGCCGCCTTCTACTACAAATACGAGCTAGAGATCAAGATCTGGCTCTACGCGCACAATCTATGCATGTGGTTTGTCACCGAGGAAGAGGTGGACAAGAACAAGAAGTTCGACGCCTTTATTTCGTTCTCGCAGAAAGACTACAGCTTTGTCGAGAACCATCTGGTTCCGCAGCTGGAGCACGGTCCCATCAAATTCCAGCTGTGCGTGCACGATCGTGACTGGAAGGTCGGCTGTTTCATACCCGAGAACATTGTGCGCTCCGTATCGGACTCGCGACGCACCATCATCGTGCTCTCCCACAACTTCATCCAGTCGGAGTGGGCCAAGTTGGAGTTCCGCGCCGCACATCGCTCGGCGCTGAACGAGGGTCGCTCTCGCGTCATTGTCATTATCTACTCAGACATTGGGGATGTGGAGAAACTGGATGACGAGCTAAAGGCCTATCTGAAGATGAACACCTATTTGAAGTGGGGCGATCCTCTGTTCTGGGACAAGCTGCGCTATGCCATGCCACATCGTGCGCCTTACAGAAATGGCGTCCTAGCCAAGTCAAAGCTAATGGGCTCCACGGATGACAGTCTGCAGCTGACCAAGTCTTCGCCAGGAACGCCACCGCTGACAACGCCGCCGGCAGAGGCAACCAAAAATCCACTGGTGGCTCAACTAAACGGTGGCACCGCCCACACAGCCATCATGATTGCCAATGGTAGGAACGCTCTGACGAATCTATATGCCCCCAACGGCAGGACGCATGGAAATGGGCATATCAATGGTGCCTTCATCATAAACACAAATGCCAGACAGAGCGATGTATAGGACTGGGAGAAGGCGGAACTATATCAGTTCGAGCCAGACGATCTGCAGTTGTTCCGTTAAAAGCCGCAGCCAACTGCCAGCCCCTCGCCCCGCAAAATCCCGCTGAGAACACCAACAAGATTGCGAGAAAGAATACCAGAGCGTGCTTCGGGATATACGACCAATTCCAAATTCCACTTTCGAATGTAGAAGCTGATTTGGAGAGTGTAAATAATCTAGAGAAGAGAGCAATTCACCACCAACTGATGATATTTCAAGTTAAATGTTCAAATTTCATTTGCATCAGTTTTAATTCTCGAATAGTTTTTAAAACTCCAAACTTCCCGGCCCCATCCCTCCCTCTAACTAGTAAAGAAAAGCATTCGCCCAATTTGGAAACACAATTTTAAATATTCAATATTTCATGTGGCCTTTGTTGACATAAATGAAAAGAAAAAACACGTTGATAACAACATTTAAACTAGTTTTAGCGCATTACTCGGTTCGTTTATAAGCAACTATCCTTAGTCCTAATTAGGCGCTTAGCTTAGCTATAAGTAAGGCATTCATCTGTAAATCAGTTTCCGCTATTTTTCTCCTTTTTTTTTTGTAAATGTATTCATTTGTATTGTACATTGAAGACAAGCAGCTGCACGCAAGGCAAGCGAGAGCTTAGTTAGACTGAGTTGTTGGTCACACTGCACAGCAAACAATTTGATAGTGTCGTCCGAAATTTATTTGGAAACTCTGCAACACCTTAAGAACATCCGTAGTTTTAAGTAACTTTGACACGAATCTCGAGTTTATGTTTTGAACAAATAGAGCTTTATTTCCTTATATTTATTTTACTTATTGCTTTGGTCCACAAACCATAATTATACGCAATTACATAGCGGCATAAAAGTTATGCCGAGTACTCAATGTATTCGTGAACAAAACAAAATGCCTTCTTCGTATGTATGTATGTATGCTAGAAATAAACAAAGCTAAGAAAATATGTATATGTACCATATATATATACACAACTATTATATACCATGCCACATGCCACTACATACCCCAGAAGAATAGATGTAAAGAACAACAAAACAAAATTATGCAACAACAAAAAAAACAGCAATGAAATGAAAACAAAAACCACTTTCTGTCATCTTAAATATCATAAATTTCAAAATATCTTACATGTAGTTCCCATAGGCATTCATTAAGACGCTATAAATAGAATTCATATGCATACATAAATACCCAACATCAACATCTCAACATTATACATCATTATGAAATGTATGTCCTTTATTTTTAATTATACAATACGATCAACATAATTAGCATAAAAGTATCGTGTAAGTAGATATATCATGTCTCTTAAATGTATTGCCTAAGGTACCTACGTAAATATGCAGACACACCACTCATTTACTTATACATACACACATAACTGTAATTGTATATGAAAAGTGCATAATTATACAAAATAAATAAAATATATTTTAAAATTAGCTAAGCTGCCTGGACTTTATTTGCCAACTGAATGTTCCACACAATTTTCGCGCTGCTATAATCTTCTGGTACTGAATTGAAACATCATGCCAAAGAAGAAGATGTCTGTTACCATGCCCGTTTATCCAGAAATGTGATTTCTTAGCGATTATGATCATTTTATTTAAAAACGGTGCACCACCAAAAGAAAAGCATCGTACAACCTGGTATGCCTGAACAGAAATCGGCAGAAAGCTGACTGGTTTTCATGAAGCTCCCACAAACATGCCACGGATATTTCCAAACAATTTTATATTGCACATAATTTGTTGCATACCACACAGGAGGTAAGTAAAAAACATTTTCGCAACAATGTAAGCAGACTTTTGGGGATAAGCAAAAAACTGTGCCACTTGCTTCTAATTTCTGTTCGCCTGGTATGCCATTTTAACTAAACATCTTTTTGTATGAAAAAGTGCCACAACGGTATGTAAAAAATTCATCCGGTTGCGACGTGATTTTAAATGCCTAAAAAACAAACTCATTCTTTCCCAGCCTACTACTTCAATATACCTTGTGCCAAAAGGGTAAGAGGAACACATGCAGCACGACAAGACGAGTTGATATAGAAATGTTCGTCTTTTCGTATAAACGCAAGCTCGAATAACCAAAATTGTAATCCATATACTTCTTAGTTTGTTTAATTTTGGATACACCCCCCAATCATCCGCCTTTTAGTGATTTTCCACAACTTCCGCAATTCTTGGAATTTCAACTCAATTTAGTACTTTTATTACATTTTTGAAATCTATTTTTAAAATGTTGCTGTTGTTATTTGGGAGTGGATACAAGGTATTTAACTCGTCCTTTGCCTTCCTTTCTTGTTTAAAATAAAAAGCAGGTACCAACCATTTCAATATACAATTTGTTTTATTAGTTCTTAAACAAATGAATTATAATTATTATGGTTATAGTATAAACAACTCAAAAATTATGAACAATGAAAAAAAAAATAAAAAATTAAGTACATTTTTCAAAGAGTCATGTCTCTCAAATAATACAAATCGTCGCCGTTTAGGAACAAAAGAGAAAAATTTATAATTAGTTGTTAAGTTTGAAAATCACATACATGGAAAGCAATTAGTTCGCTTGTTAAAAGATCTTTCTTACATAAAGCAGGCCGCGTTCACATATATCACCCAACAATACTATCTTTCCATCCAAATGACCAAATGCCGTTGATGAACGCGCGCCAAATTTCAAAGAAATTGTCTTGTGCAATTCTTTGGATTATACGGGTATATATTATTAAGCTATAGCTATAAGGTTTGCAGGTATATAAAATATACATTTATGTAGCTCCATTAATTAGTTTTGTCTGTATGTTCGTTTGTATAGTATAACCTACGCGGCATATGGTACAATAAGCATCAGCATCAGCATCATTATTATCAAAACAACATCAATTTTCATTTTGTAGCTCTCCTCCTCGCGTTTTAGTAGTAGTTATTCCTCACAATCAGTTCCATTTCTTTGGTGTTCAACATACTTATTTAAACTTTGGGTTTTCGACTTTTGTCTTTTGTTTGCGTCTTTTGCATAAAAATCAGTTCTCACGCCAATAATACTCACAGACGAATCGAAAATGGTGACGCCTATATCTCTAAAGTAGCATATCATCGTCGCTCTCAGTGAACTCCCCATTGGGCTCGAGCAGCAGATTAGCCTCCTCATTCGATTGTACCTGCAAACGAGACAAAAAGGATAATTCCAGCATCAGTTCAGCATCCCAGCAAGCACCGCTCAGCATTCTTCAAGAAAAAACGGCGCGTGTGCAAACAAAAAATGTTCGTGTTAACAAGTACCCTTGAATATCTTACAGCGGAGCCGCTGCGTCTGAAGAGGCGACGCACCCGCTGCCGACGCGCCGGCGAGAAGGCGAACAGACCCAAGCACACCACACAGGCCGTCACGGACAGTATGGCGGCCAGAATGGCTGAAAATGGCAGCATTGATTAAAGCAATTGCGGGCAATGGCTACCATTGGCTTTTCAGCAAGAACTTACTGCCCACCGATCCCTTTGGCCCCACTGTAGCAGCTGGAGTTGTTGCTTGCGTTGTCGTTGTTATTGTTGATGCAGCTGGTGCTCCTCCTGTTGGTGGCACGCTCGGTGTTGCTGTTGTTGCCGCTGACTGCGAACCATCCGCATCGGCCAGCACTGGCACGTCCAGGCCCAGAAAATTGCAAATGCTTGCAGTGCGCTGCTCAAAGAGCAAATTGCATTGCTTGCCCTGAAAGGGATCAGAAGTTTAAGAATTTTGAAAGAGAAAAAAGGAAACAGGAGAACATCTACACAGTTGCTTATAATTAGAAACTTTCTTCATTAAGTGCAAGGCAAATAGATAAATAAATTGATATACAAAAACACATAAATTCCCACAGCGAAATACTTTTCAGCCGCCGGCAACAAAAGACAGCAAATTGTGCCACGCACACACGCATACACACACACATCGCATATACACTTAAATATACAGAAAAGTTAGTGCTGCGTACAACACTTACGCCCTATAGACCATTTCCGGCGCGACAACCAACTAGCAACAACAGGAGCAGCTACAACATGCAACGAAAATGGAGCAACGTGAATGTGCGCATAATTTAAAAAGTTTTGCGGTAGCAGAAGCGGAGTCGAAGGCGGAGGCAGAAGCAGAGGCAGCAACAGCAGCGGTATCGGCGGCTGAAGCTGCAAGTGGCAACTGCAAGTGGCAGAAACGCGCACGAGCGCATAAAACTTTGAAGCCACCATCGGCGACCACTCTCAACCTGCTAGTTGGAACGATTCGTGCTGCCCTGCTATCAGAAGGATGGGGGATGGCAGGAGAGTAGACGACACATTAAAAAGTTTGCAGCCATTTAAAATCCCATTTCATTGAATCGCTAATTTTCCGACGCCGTCGTCATCGTTGTTTTTCCCGCACAGCTAACCCAAAAATTGTCGTCGTCATGTTTAGTCTTTTTCCGCTTTGCAATTCAAAAAAAAAAACCCAAGCCGTGATGTTTTCCCCATTTTCCTCTTTTCTGTTATTGTGCAGTGAACTGCCGCATGTTGAATAAGTAGTCGAGCATGTCGCAAAGGATGTTGCACGTTGATAGTGAATAAGTGATAGTCTGTGTAACTCAGCGAGGTCAGCAACATGAAGATACTGAGAGTTGAAATGCATTTAAAATAGATAAGCAATTACAAAAATGTCACAACATTTTGAAACTGTGTTATTATTTTTACAGCCTGCACTCGACGACGTAGACTATATGTATGGAATATTTTTAATCAGCTTGACGAGACATGTGTTGCCGAGAGATTGAATAAATAATATCAAATAATAACAAGACTGAACTGCTAATGTAAGTTCTATACGGGTATGTTTAATAAAGGTTGTTCTAAAAATCAAAAACATAAACTAATAGTTTTTTAGAGAAATGTCCTGTTTTTGTCACAATTAAAATAATAATTACAATCGAATCTTTATAAGGTATTGCCCAAATTAATGTTTCGTTCTTCGAAAGATACGAACATACTTGTACATATATAAATATAATCATTTAAGAAATAAATTCTTACAAATTTTCAACACTTCAATTGCAATTTGATTTTATTTGATCTACAAAACATCGACTCTCAATGGAGAAATATTAATTCTCACTAAAAACTGCTACGAAAAGTGCGATTAAATAAAGATTATAAATATAATTGTGAGATCTCAATAATATTTGTTGTCTTAGACTTGCCAGTAGGCGAATGCATTTGTAGGTTGAGTTGTAAACACAACTAATGATTTATCAGTACGAATGGACAGCAAAGGATTTAAAGCGGCACCAAACTCGTTTTAATTATTTTGATGCATTTTGGGGGTTAATAACACCACCATAATTATCCACACAAATAGCTACGCATATGCTTTCCGCCTCCGTGCATACCCCACACCTGCTGGGAATACAAGTGCAATGGCCGACATAGGCTGCAGGCATTTAACAAATTAAGCGTAAAAATGTGTCAACCAGCAATCGAAAATGTTCAAAAAGGAGAGGCACGATTTAATTAATCCTGTGTGTGGTGGGACATGCAATTAATGGAAGTCAAATATACGAAAGCTAACTCCGCCCACTTCACCCACACTACACTTGCATATGCGTCTACCAGCAAGCAGACGACTGTGGCAGAGGCAGTTCATGACTGCCTCAACCATCGCCCGTCACCATCTGCGTGCCACACCTTCTACACCGGCGCCTCTGCTGGGCTCTGGCAGCTCCATTTCGGCTTGTTTATTGTAGGAGGTAAATAGCTAGCAGCTATTTGTCAACTGGTTTAAATTTGGGTCAATTGGTTTGCGCCACATAGAAATATGCGCAAGTAAGTAGGCAACAGTTTTGCGTGTGCCTGCGTGTTTTTCTGTGTGTGTGTGTGTACGTGAGGGACCCCAGGGCTTGTGCCATTAGTTGTTTGCGTTGGGCAAACGCATTGCCCGCCTCTCGCTCGGCTGATTGCAGCCGCCCGTCATTATAATCGTCGGTTTCCTTCTGTAAATCGCCTAAAATTCAATCACATGGTGACGATGGGACGACGGAACGAGCGGGAAGGGGGAAGGGGGAAGTGGCTTTGGTTTTGGGGCAACTACAAAAAATTTGTTAGCCTACAAAATGGTTGAGCAAATATTTTCAAAAGCTTCCAGACTAGTGCCAATTTGTGCGTAATGGAGTACAATGCTTGCTATGCTGTGTGTGCACCTCAGGGCTCTAATTGCAACAATTTCGAAATATTGCGCTAATAAATTTGCCACAGCAACATTTTAGTTAACGGCACAAATTGGCGCTACTAATTGGTAAATGCTGTTACTGCTGTTAACGATTTCAGCTCAAAGTCAGAGTCAGTCATACACTCAAATAACCAATAACATTTACAACAACAATTGTTTAATAATAATAAAAATATACTTTAAAAACTAAAACTCAACATCTACTCTCGCCAGAGAGTTACACCCGACCTAGTTAGCTCAATAAAGCGATAACTGAGCTTCACATCATATCGACTTTAATTCGCATAAAATATGTTTAAGTTTTTGATTTATAATAATTTGTTTCTCAATTTTATTACTAAGCGAATTATTATTATTATTACTTGTCGAAAGCCGCCATTGCTTTGCTCGACCATAGTTCAATAATTCGCGCAATAAATGAATGGGAAAGTAAAATTGTAAAAAAAAGCTTGTCGTATTTTGTATTTTATTTAATTTTCTATAATTGTGTAAGTGATATGAAATTACTTAAAGGGTATACGAAAGCGCATATTTTCTCTTTCAAAACTGTTGATATTTTCAAGCCGCATAAGCTAACCGCATTCGAACAGTTAAAAAAAATTTTTTTAAAAAAAATGTATTGTTTATTTATTTATTAATGACATTTTTGACAAACAAAGCAATAATAAAGAGAAATCCCCTCCATCTCAATAGGTCAAGAAGGCTTCCGATGAACGTTTTATGTTACAAGCCAACAACTTTTATTATTTGTTAGCTCATTTATTGTATTAGTACATATAGCACTTATTTTTTATAACTTTACCAATAATGTGTCAGAAATATAGCTGGTCAACATGTTTTCCTAGCTCTACTTCAAACTATATTTCAGATTTGTGGAAGTGTCACTGGCTGAAGTAAAGTGTCCTATTTGTAGAAAAACTGGGGGTTTAAATAAAGGGAAGGGCCGCATCAGTAATAGTCATAACATGTGTTTTGGCATGCCTCACATGCTTTTCGGAGATAATTGCAAACGGATGTCTGATCCTTACCTTAGCTTGTAATATGAAGCAACAGCAGCGCTAACCCATCTCTGAACTCTCTCTGGCCCAAAATGCATGCTAATGGCATGCTAATGATATGGGGCGAGTCGAACAATGGGCAACCGAAATAGATGCAGATGTTGCTGCTGAGCTAAGCAGTTGGAAAAACTGTCTAATTGTCCGAATTGAAGACGAGATATGCAAGACCAAGCAACATAAATTAGACTACAAATTGCGCAACTCTGGTTGCTATTACGACCACAAAACAACTTATAACAAAAGGCAGTGTGATACTTTGGCGATCTAACTGAATAAAATGATGACTGAGAACATTCAACAATTAATTTTAATGTATTGAAATTGAAGGGAACTACCGAAAATGCTTAAAGATGTTGTCTTTAAACGCAAAACGCACAAATTGTATATCAATTACTAACGACAGAAATTCTACCATTACGGACATTTTATTTTAAATTGGTAATACGCATTAATTTGTTCAAATAGTGCCAACTTATTTATTTTAAATAAACGATTCTTTTATGCAGTTAAAAAAGTTTTCATAAGTAGTAACAGTATTTTATTTTGTACATATTACATTGTTCTCACTGACTGACACATTGATTCATTTATTCAATATGGGAAAGCAAGGCAACAAGATTAGAGGAACACTCTGTAGCATGGCATCGGCATCGGAAGTCAATACTCCAATTTATTTATTTATTTAATGTTTTAACAAACTCAGTCTTAAACGTACTTAGTAGTTAGTTGTCAGCCGTTAAGACAGGGTTCAGTCATAAAAAGAGCGCGAATCTAAATCGTCTACACCATTCCTACATTACAATCCTAATACGTTAAGTAATATTACTTGGAAAAATTGTTAAAATAAACAACCTGCTTTTAAAATCCAATAACACAGTTATTTAAGCTTTTTTGGTGAAAATCTTACACAAAAAGGAGGAAAATTGAGTGCAAAATGGATTTGCATATTCAGTTTCTGAATCTATGATGGCAGCAAAGCCAATTAGCATATCCCTATTTATTAAATTTACATAAAATTACTTTATGCTAAGCAGAAAAATAATGTAAAATTACGATTACATTCAGATTATTAACCATCTATGCATCTAATTTCCACTGTTCCATCACTAAATAGCAGTCATACATACATATTAACATTTACTTTTAGAATAAATACCAGAAGCAAGCAAAATAAAATCGTATTAGGAATTACAATTTTATAATGAAATTAAAACGCCTAAATGGATTTTATGTGTATTTACTGCAAACTTGTTATGCTTTTTCAAAAGCAGCAAAGCATAACTTTGTTAGATTAAAACTACCAAAATATCATACTGTGCGAAACTAGTTTAATTAATTGAACAGATATGGAAAATGTTCAGTGCAGCCACAAAATGCACTTAACCGCAGGACAGGCAAGACAAAGACTGATAATTAAATTTACATGGCAGGGATCCAATGAATAAGTAGCAGCTGCTAAGGTCACATGTGCATGACAATTATTTACTAATAACAACAAGAACAGCAGCAAGGAGTAACAGGGAGGACAAATGATATGAATAATTTTCAGGCCAAGCCAATGGCGAATGGTGTCAAGGGTGTCAGTTGCAAGGCAACGATACAAAAGCGGAGAGAAATTGCAAAAAAGAAGATGCTGAGATCTCTGATCTAAAGCAAAGGTCACCCAGAGGGCAACTACAAAGCATGTAGCAGCAACAACAAGTCAGGCACCTGCATTTTTAGGTCGATTGTTAAAACAACAAAGGCTTAAGCCAAAACACACACACTCACACCCACACAAACAGTAATGCAAAAAACAAAAGAAAGGCTACGCAAAAGGAGAGCAACTATGCGAAAACAACGAACAGACAGACAAAACATGCGGACAGGTGGACGGAGTTGAAAGGCAAGTTGCATAAAAGAAACGGGGCACAAAGCACCTGAAAGCCACAAGCCAGGCAACATTTTTGCTAAGTAACGCAGCCCAGTGAGCCCAGCTCAGCAAAAAGTGTTGAGCATAGGAAACACAAAAAAAGGGTAAGAAACTTGGCGAAGCAACAATAAAGTGAAACACCAACAACAACTAGAGCAGCACAAGAGGAGCAGCAACAGCAGCAGCAGGCAAAGCGGATTGCCAAGTGGTAAGCATAACAAAGGACACCTGTTTTGTGCCCGAGAGCCGAATGGGTTGCCTTTTTGCAAACACGCACACACACAAATATTCCTTACATTTTTACTTTGAGCAAGGCCTGAGGCGGGAATTTGTAAAAGAAACCCACACACAAATACAAAAGTAACGTGAAATTCAAAATACATGCAAAGAAATCAACAAAATTATGCAAAATTCTTGGAAAAGCAGTTCCTCTTTAGCTACAAACCGACTATTGTCGCGTTAGTCGTGCGACTTATTTGCAACTTCTGGTTCAATGAAAAATGCCGCACAAATGTATGCTACATTTTTAGGCAATCGTAACTAATTTTGAGAGCACACATACACATCGCAAAGTTTGCCTCTTCATTTTTTTGGATGAACGAGGGAGCCCGAAAAGTATTTCAAAGAAGAATTTCAAGTTCATATTAAAACTGATTTTAATTTTAAAACAATTTAAATCATCATTAAAGCTGATTTTAATTTTAAAACAATTTAAATCATCATTAAAGCTGATTATAATTCAAAAACAATTTAAAGCATCATTAAAGCTGATTATAATTCAAAAACAATTTAAAGCATCATTAAAGCTGATTTTAAATCAAAAACAATTGTAAATACTTATTTAAAAAAAATAAACCGAAGTTGCATTTAAGAACTAGCGATCTACTTTGTAAAAAATTTTTCTTCAATTAATAAATAAGGTACGCTTTCCTAAAGTGTGCTTTAAGGGAGTTTAATCAAATTAAGCTAAACGAAAAACAAAGCTTTCTTAAATAATTCGAAACTGTGGGAAATTAAAGCCTACATTTTCAGGATTATATTGTCGACTATTTGTATTTCAATGTACATAGCTTTTCTTTCATTTTGAAATTTAGAAATGCATCTGTCTGATTGATTAGGGAACGTTGCTTGACTGCTAGGCTGAAGCAATATGTATGGAAACACCTCAATGAATTTAATCTATTTAAAAACTTCAATAAAGAAGCTGGCCATTTGTTACGATAATTATAATGATCATGCCTGCGGGATAAGACAAAGATGTGTGTATATTAACAATGCTTATTCGTAGACTGTACACAAGAACAATTGCGTACATATACAACAATTGGAGCGTATCTTATCTGTCAGTGTCTGTCGAATACAAAGCTATGAAAGCAATTATTTTATGTAAAATAAACTTTTGCTTCATACTTGGACAGTTTCTAAACTTAAAGCAGCCTTAATAATAGGTAATTAAATAATAGTCAGATACATCGTCTACGACTTGAAAAGAAAAAGGATTATCTGTTGGCAATAGTCAGGCTAATTCCAATTTCATTCATTTCATTTCTATTCAACGCGCAAAACTACTTTTGCAACACAGGAATTATTAAAAGCCAACTCGTCGAATATTACAAACTTTTCACTAAGTTCTTTTAGGCCAAAAACAATAACAATTGGTTCTTTTTTTTACAAAAACAAACCGGTTTTAGTTGTCATTTTTGAACAACTGGCAGGTATTGTATGAAAATGTTTTGTCAGTCCGGCTCTTATAAAAATTGTTTTTTTTATCTAGCCTTGCATTGACACTCTAACTGCCAAAGAAAATCCGCATATCGATATTATAATCTTAATAATAACAATCTTAATTCTTCATTATCAGAACATAGGGAATGAAACTATACTTACACCAGAGACCTTGCTGACATTCTCCGTTCTATTGCTGCAAATCAAACGTATGTGGACGTCCATTTGGCCTGCAAGGAGATAAGGAGTTCGAGTTAAAGCGGATATTATTGTTAGAAAAGTTTCGACCAAACAAGCAATTTAATTAGTTAAAATGAGCCGACATTCAAAATGAACTTAACCCTAATAAAAAATTATGCTAAAGCCCAGCCATGACCGCCACAACAACACCAACAGCAGCAATAACAACAATGAGAGCCAGTGGCAGCAACAACCACAAACAAAACAAAGCGGCGGCATTTTATTTTAATTGCCTGGCAGACAACAAAGGATAAGCAGAAGCAGCAATAGCACGGGTAAGCGCATCATTCCACTAAATCCTTATCAAATTTCGAATGTTTGGAACGACAGACAGGCAGGCAGACAGAGATGGGAGTACCAACCAGCAGCACATGCCAAAGTTATCGCATAAAAGCCAAAAATAATTATCACTAGAGCACAACAAAAGCCTCGACTACCCACCAGACAACGGGGGAACAGAACCAAGACCAAACAGAATGGGAAGGTAGACAGCCGCTAGCTGTTCAAATGCGCAGTGACAGCTTTGTGACTGTCTGTTCAGACCATGTATAGAATAGTATATATACTTGTACAACTTGCGAACACACATTCATAACTACATACGAGCATGTGCCCACCCGGCAAAGACAGTCATTTTGTTCAAACGTCCACTATAGCCAGGTATTTGCATACCAAATAGGCACTGTTTGCCAAACTTGGTAACCAAATTATCCCAAGCACGAGAAAGGACACGTTTAGTTTTTTCTGATGCACCCCCTGCACTCGCCTTCCTTTATTTAATTGCAAAGAATTATTTATTATTTTCCAATTATGCAACTTGTTTTGTTTTTTTTTTGTGGCTACAGGCTATTTAAGAGTTGACCGCACTCGACTCGAGCATTCCTTTCCTGCTTAACAAATCATTTCTGTGACTGATTTAACTGAAACTATAGAATATCTGATAGTATGAGCTCTTTGAGCAGCTTCTTAAAATAATAAGCTATCTATGTACATGGTATATGGTTTGCAATTAACTTACTGCCAAGCTATGTCCGGTTCAAAATTTCTCGTTATATATAAGAACGAACGAACAGACGGATATAGACATCGATTAGTTTCGTCATGCTGGCTATGTATGTTATGAACCAATAATATAACCTGAACCAATACTCTGCCTGCTACGTACACTTGGTGTTTTGGATTCTCTAGTATACCCTTCAGGTATAATGATGTTCTTTCTATTGATGGATGGATGGTTTTTTTTATGTAGTCGGGATTAAATTTGTTTACTGCATTAAGTTAAATATGAAAAATATGAAAATCGTAAATTCCAGCCATGTATTGCAAATCAAATCAACGTTTAATGTAACTTATTCTCATCAGTACCTGCCATAAAAATCTAATTAAAAAACCAGCCACATGCTTCTCTCAGTACAAAATGGATAAATAAACTTGAAAGCCATTGGAAAACTAATCCGTTGTCTTTGGCGTTTGTCGGGTGGGTATGAGTGTGTGCATGTGTGCCTCAAGTCGCACAGCCAAACACAATCTGCACGGCAACAACTTTGCTGACTCGAATTTAGGCACTTTTAGTCGTCTGCCCATCGCAGGCTGTCCGTCTGACATTTGTTGTTGCTGCTTCGAGTATTATTGTTGCTGCGGCTGCTCTGGCAAACATTTTCATTGCACGCTCGGTTGCTGTCACTGTGCATATTAAAATTGTCTGATTGCCGCCGTAACCCCTTTTCAAGCCTCTTGACCTTTATATGAATAGTTTCCAGATCACACAATAAAGGCAGAAATGTGTTTCACGACAAACGCAAATATTCGGCATTAAACCAGTTTTTAAATAATTGTATTTGTTGTCTGCCGTCTGCCACGTGGGGCAAGTTTTGTCTCACTTGCCTGTCATAATTAATGCATCAGCATCTGTTTTATTACAGCGTTTTATTGTCTACCCGCACATCAAAGTCAAGCGATAAGTGCAAAGGGTTTAGTGAGACAAGTCCTATTCAGTTTAGTTTCGTCTAGAAAACATAAGGCTTTGGCCCAAATAAAGTTTTTCACTTTAACCACTTTACCCACACATTGTCAGCTTGTCCGCTTCTGCACGCGCTATTAAATATTCATGGGCTTTGAATGCAACACAAGAGGAAAAATAAGTGGCAAGCAAGTACAGCTAGATTATTTTACTGCATTATCTGGTAGACATTTTTCGCTGTTTTTCTGTCTGCTGCCTTTTTATAAGCTTGCCACACTACTATACATACCTAAGAAGTATTCTGATTGCTTGCAACAAAAGGGCATTGCATTTAAAATGTGTCCAAGGTCTGACTAGGCTTACGATGTAATTTCAATCTTATTAATGGTATTCAATTCGCTAAAGCAATACAGATAGTTTTTTGTGGAGTCACGGAAACATACACGTATTTAATTCTAAACAATCTGTAAGTCTCCCTGAGAAGATCGAAAAGGACCTAGTCGTACCCAAAGTTTGTGACGTCTACAATGACAAGGCTTCGAACCCGCAAAAATCTCTAAGCATCTCTGAGTATTGAAGCAAAAAAAGATAGTAAGACTTGCCGAAAGATTTATATAAATAATACTAAATAAAATAAGATTAAGCTCCTACTTTAATTTATAATTGTAATTATTTATAAATTTAATTTAAGTTGTTCCAAATAATAAGAATAATCAATTTATATATTCCGAGATAATATATATGGGGAGGATATTCAGAAAATTTTATTATTTTGAAGCTTATTGGCCAACCAATCGCACATAATATTTCGAGGGTACAACATATTCGCTTCGCCGAAAACGAACAATTCTTTCATTTTTTCTTATATTTTAAAGAGTTTTTGCATTTTTCAGCAACAAAAAGCACGCTGCAGACATAAAAGAATGTTAGTTAAAAGCAAAGCAACAAAATGGGTGCAAAAAAAAATCAACAACAACGAGACGCAGGCTTAAAAACGCAAACAAAAATGTCGCAGTGACAACGCCAGCACCTAAAAGTATGCAGCAAAAAATCGCAGCAACAAAAATGGTGCGATAATATGCAGCAGGAGCAGGAAGGCGTCGACGGCTAGGCGGGGGCACGAAACGCGAACAAGTGCAGATAAGAAATACAAGCGCATTGGGCTATGCGCCAATTCTAATGCGATTCTCTATTTAAAAAACGCTGTCGACACAGAAAAAAATATCTTCTACAATGGCCGGATATGCGCGTGTTACACCACGGGAAACGGAAGCGACAAACGACAAGGGGATAGGGAATAAAAACAAGAGCACGGATATGGAAATTGAATTAGGCAACGGCCAAGTGCTTGCTACTCACCCTCCGTGCCGCAGCCAGGCGCCTCATGTGAAAAGAAAATGTTAACCGAATCCTGTGAGTAGTCCGTAAGTGCCTTGCGATGCTGACCACATATGTTGATCGTTAGTTTTGTGCTGTTGTATACAATCTGTTTGAAGAAATCAGTAAATTCAAGTTGGTCCGATAAATATAAGTATAACCAAAATATTATGAAATATTAGATGATAACTATTTTTATTGTTTGGCCGGCTCGAGGTCAGAGTAAGAAAAACCAATTTATTTAATTTTCTTTTCTTTTTCCGATATATTTCGGTTACGCCACGGTAACCGTCTTCAGGGCAACTACAAAACATATAACATAATTAACATATTAAAACTATAACACAAGAATTTTTATATAATTACTTATTTAAGCAAGTCTGCTCTGTTTGACTTGGAGTTACTAACTAACAGGTGTCTGTAAATATGCGCGCAATTTTCGGTGTCTGCTTTGTAGTTAATTCTGTATTTGTTAGGTGTGTTGATAATGTGTAGCGTTTCGAGAGTGAATCGCTTACTGTAGTGTCGTTCTTGTTGCAGTACTTTCGTTTCTTCAAAGTTGGGGGTGTGTCCAGTCTCTATGCAGTGGGTTGTTAGAGCAGTTTTTTGTGTCAATGTTTGATGCCTTAGTTTGTAGTCTGACTTGTGTTGTGATATCCGTGTTTTTAGTTTCGACTTAGTGGTTCCAATGTAAAATCTCCTACATGGGTTGTCGCTGTCTCCGTCACATGGAATTTTATAGACTACGTTATTCAGGTCCATTTCTGCAATTTTTGCCTTAGTCCTATTAAAAATGTTCCTAAGTGTATTCTCCGGTCTGTGCGCAATTTGTATATCCTCTTTTTGATAGCAGTCTGACTGGGTGAAGCGTTCTGAGAACCCAGATACGTATGTCAGAGATTTGTAGATTTTTGGTGCTCTTGGTTCTTTTTTCTTTGGGTTCTTATGGTTCTTGATTAGGGAATACGTCAATTTGATAGGGAAGTCGTTTTGTGTCAGTATCCGTTTAATTTCTTCCTCTATTTGTTTATGGTAAAATTTGTCACTTGTCTCGAACATCCGTCTTATACAGTTCTTGGCTGTATTTATTATCATATTTTTCGGATGTTTCGAGTGATAGTTAATCAGCCTACCCGATGCCGTCGGTTTCTGGTACCATTTTGTTTTTAGCGTATTCCCACATCTATTTATAGTCAAATCCAAATAATTAAGTTTCTCGTCATTTTCTGTCTCTAATGTAAATTGGATGTCTTTGTGGTATATGTTGAGGGCGTCTAATGTCTTTTGCACCTGTTCCTTGTCAATAATTGCGAACAAGTCGTCAACATATTTGGTCAGGAGTCTTGGTCTATGGATCAATTTCGATGTTGTGTTTTCCAGAAGCTCCTCCATGACTATGTCCGCTATTACAGGGGACGCCGGGGATCCCATCGGTAGTCCCTTAAGTTGTATATACATTCTGTCCGTATACTTAAAATACCTTGTTTCACGGATGCAGAAATGTACGATGTCCATAAACATTCTCTTTGGGATTTTAGTGAAGCTTTCTATCCTGGTCCAGTTTTTACTGATGACATCCATCGCTAAGTCGATTGGGATGCTCGGGAACAGAGACACCACGTCGAACGAAACTAAAATCTCATCGTCTACTATATAAGTGTTGTTGACCTTGTCTTTAAACTCTGAGGAATTTTTAACGTTATATGGTGAGGTATTGGTCAGGTTCTTTAATATCCCAGCGATGTATCTACTAAGTTCGTGACAAGGGGAACCGACTGACGAACAAATCGGTCTCAGGGGTGTTCCTTTTTTGTGTATTTTCGGTAGTCCATAGATCCTGGGTGGGACACCTGTTAGTTAGTAACTCCAAGTCAAACAGAGCAGACTTGCTTAAATAAGTAATTATATAAAAATTCTTGTGTTATAGTTTTAATATGTTAATTATGTTATATGTTTTGTAGTTGCCCTGAAGACGGTTACCGTGGCGTAACCGAAATATATCGGAAAAAGAAAAGAAAATTAAATAAATTGGTTTTTCTTACTCTGACCTCGAGCCGGCCAAACAATAAAAATAACTATGAGGAAGGTCACCAAAATACTCAACAATATTCAAACGGAAGGCACGCCGTATGCAGCAACCAGTAAAATGGAATATGCAAAAATAAAGAACAACTACAAAAACTCCAAACACGTAATTAACAAATATCAGCAAATATCCAAAAAATTAGTTAAGTTACAGTCTAGTATAAAATTTTTATTACAATGCCGAAAGTACAAACTTGTCCCCAACTTCATAAACAATACCACAAACTGCACCAATATATTTAAAAATAATTCAAACTCACTCATTCCCACAAACATAAGCCAAAGATTAGAAAAGCATAGCCATATATTTCACATGAAAATTCTTAGTATATTGATCGCACATAAACATAATATTATTGACGAGAAGAGGAAACAATTACAAAAAACAAAAACAACCATAGAGGAAATAATGAGAGCGGACGATACAAAAGCATTTTTTGAGAGTGAAGAGAGCATAATGAACAAACTGACAACAACTCTCAAAGAACGACAACTACGAAAACTGGAGAACCTAAGAAACGATCGTAACGAACGGCACACAGACAACAACAAATAACAGGCAGAGTGGTTTGCAAACCAATCACACACAACATTCCCACCAAACATCACAGCATTACTTGCTATGGGTCCAAAGTACGCTTTACCAACTGACCGAAAAAGCTTTCCGCTCTTTAAATGCATAGCGGACGGAGAGGAGTTGGTACAAACAATAAAAAACAAAGAGAACCAAGAAACAGCTCGCATAAAACTCTCTTTACTAATAAAGAACATGATGACAAACAACCGAACTAACACAAGAGATCGCGCAATATTAGACACAGTGGAACAAACCAAAAAATTTCTGAAAACTAATGACAACATTTTAATATTAACTTCGGACAAAGGAAATAAGACGGTAGCCATGGACAAGGAGGAATATAATATCAAAATGACGGATATACTAGGAGACGCAAACACATACAGAACACTCAGACAAGACCCCACGCTTAGGCTACAGAATAAAAACAACAACTTCGTTGACAAACTACTCCAATTGAACATAATCACAAAGACTGAAAGGAATAAATTAGTTACAAGCACTGCACTACCACCCAGGATCTATGGACTACCGAAAATACACAAAAAAGGAACACCCCTGAGACCGATTTGTTCGTCAGTCGGTTCCCCTTGTCACGAACTTAGTAGATACATCGCTGGGATATTAAAGAACCTGACCAATACCTCACCATATAACGTTAAAAATTCCTCAGAGTTTAAAGACAAGGTCAACAACACTTATATAGTAGACGATGAGATTTTAGTTTCGTTCGACGTGGTGTCTCTGTTCCCGAGCATCCCAATCGACTTAGCGATGGATGTCATCAGTAAAAACTGGACCAGGATAGAAAGCTTCACTAAAATCCCAAAGAGAATGTTTATGGACATCGTACAGTTCTGCATCCGTGAAACAAGGTATTTTAAGTATACGGACAGAATGTATATACAACTTAAGGGACTACCGATGGGATCCCCGGCGTCCCCTGTAATAGCGGACATAGTCATGGAGGAGCTTCTGGAAAACACAACATCGAAATTGATCCATAGACCAAGACTCCTGACCAAATATGTTGACGACTTGTTCGCAATTATTGACAAGGAACAGGTGCAAAAGACATTAGACGCCCTCAACATATACCACAAAGACATCCAATTTACATTAGAGACAGAAAATGACGAGAAACTTAATTATTTGGATTTGACTATAAATAGATGTGGGAATACGCTAAAAACAAAATGGTACCAGAAACCGACGGCATCGGGTAGGCTGATTAACTATCACTCGAAACATCCGAAAAATATGATAATAAATACAGCCAAGAACTGTATAAGACGGATGTTCGAGACAAGTGACAAATTTTACCATAAACAAATAGAGGAAGAAATTAAACGGATACTGACACAAAACGACTTCCCTATCAAATTGACGTATTCCCTAATCAAGAACCATAAGAACCCAAAGAAAAAAGAACCAAGAGCACCAAAAATCTACAAATCTCTGACATACGTATCTGGGTTCTCAGAACGCTTCACCCAGTCAGACTGCTATCAAAAAGAGGATATACAAATTGCGCACAGACCGGAGAATACACTTAGGAACATTTTTAATAGGACTAAGGCAAAAATTGCAGAAATGGACCTGAATAACGTAGTCTATAAAATTCCATGTGACGGAGACAGCGACAACCCATGTAGGAGATTTTACATTGGAACCACTAAGTCGAAACTAAAAACACGGATATCACAACACAAGTCAGACTACAAACTAAGGCATCAAACATTGACACAAAAAACTGCTCTAACAACCCACTGCATAGAGACTGGACACACCCCCAACTTTGAAGAAACGAAAGTACTGCAACAAGAACGACACTACAGTAAGCGATTCACTCTCGAAACGCTACACATTATCAACACACCTAACAAATACAGAATTAACTACAAAGCAGACACCGAAAATTGCGCGCATATTTACAGACACCTGTTAGTTAGTAACTCCAAGTCAAACAGAGCAGACTTGCTTAAATAAGTAATTATATAAAAATTCTTGTGTTATAGTTTTAATATGTTAATTATGTTATATGTTTTGTAGTTGCCCTGAAGACGGTTACCGTGGCGTAACCGAAATATATCGGAAAAAGAAAAGAAAATTAAATAAATTGGTTTTTCTTACTCTGACCTCGAGCCGGCCAAACAATAAAAATAACTATGAGGAAGGTCACCAAAATACAACAACATTAGATGATAACGTTAAACATTTAAGCTCTTATGTACATTGAATAAATACTTAATTATTTCAATTTGAACAAGAAAGGAATGCTAAAGTCGAGCAGGCTCAAATCTCAAATACCCTGTACCACCCCACAAAAAAGAAATTAACTAAATTAATTTAGTTAATTAATTAAATTAATTTAGTTAATTAATTAACTAAATTAATTTAATTAATTAACTAAATTATATATAAAATATTCCATGCATGCATACATACATTTACATCAGAATCGTGCCTTATGCGTGTTTGTGTACTTGTACATATGTATGTATGTGTGCATTGAGCCTGGTTATATGGCTATAACTTTTTCTCTGATCAACCTATAATGAAACTTGGTATACGGATATATAATTACTAACTGGATGTGTCTACCAAATTTTAGTTTAAAATTCCAAGAATTACGGGAGTTATAGAAAATCGTTAATAGGGGGGGAGTGGGGGGTGGATCAGAAAAAATGAACAAACTCGTCCTTTCTCGGGCTCAGGAGAATCTGCATACCAAGTTTTGTTATTCTAGCTCTTATACTTTCGGAGATCCTTGCGTTCATACAGACAGACAGACGGACAGACAGACGGACATGGCTTTACCGATTCGGCTTGTCCTGCTGATCAAGAATATATATACTTTGTGGGGTCTACAAAGCCTCCTTCTGTGTGTTCCATGTGCACTCGCACAAAACTAATATACCTTTGTACCCTTTTTTTTCCAAATTCTACACCACGCTCCAAACAGACCAAAAATCGATTGTTGAATGCTCAAAAGTAATAAAAACTTGTTGAATCAATTAAAACTGGAATAATTATGTTTCTAGATTTTTTAGAACTCTGCAAGAGCTGCAGCAGAAATATTGAAATTACTCTAAAATGTACATGAAATGTACAAGAGTATATTAGGTTTGCGTGAGCTGAAAAATGTAACAGGCAGAAGGAGGCGTGGCAGACCCCACAAAGACGAGTCGATTTAGCCCTGTCTATCTGTCTGTCCGTCTGTCCGTCCGTGTGATCACCTAGATCTCAGAGGCTATAAGAGCTAGAGACACCAAATTTTGCACAAAGATGCCTTATGTGTGTACGCTATACGAGTTTGTTATATTTTTTTGATTCCCCCCCCCCCCCCTTCCGCCCTATGGGGGTTTTCCCGATTTTCCATTCGTATAATCGCCACCAAATTTTAGTCCAAGATGCCTTTCTCTAACTCCGGTAATTCTTGGAATTTCGAACTTAAACTTGACAAATACCTTCAGTTAGTTATAATGTGTCCGTACGCCAAGTTTTACCATGATAGACCGATTTAACAAGAAGTTATAGCCAATGTGCAATTATACACCATTTACGTGAGTTCGAATACCGAGAAAGGTAAAATGGATAAAAAAAATTTTTTTTTTGTTTATTTTTTTTTTATTTTTTTTTTTTTTTTCTATAATTATTGTAAACATATGTACAGAGTATTTCCAAGTCCGACTTTAGCTTTTTTACTTGTTTATCTTAATGATAGCGATAAAACAACATAATCATTCGTTTGGAGAAATATTTAAACACCCGTTGTCGGGTTTTTTAGATTTTCCACATATGTATATGCGTTTAGTCTAATTTAAAATCGAAGCTCACCTCAATTTTGCCATCGTTGGTAAAGTCTGCTCGCTTCAAGTTATACTTCATTTTCACCTCGTCCTGCACAATGTCGCAGCTGTCCGCGTTGAAAATGCACTCGTGTGGCGGGCAAATGACGCTCGTCTCCCAATCGAATCCATATTGGCAGTCTCCTATGGAGCGCAGCACCGGTTTGCCCTGTAGGTGGGCAAAAAGGAAAGAGTTCATGGCAGGAACGAGGTTAACAATCATTGCGGCATAAAATCAATTTGCTCGGCACTGGTCGCTACTCTGAACACTTCATGCCCCACCCTTTCCGTCTGCTCATGAACGCTAATGAATTTTGTGGCACGTAAACGTAAACCGCAACAAACTGCAACAACTGAATGGCAGCAGCACAAACAGCAACAATTTGCAATGACTGCAATGCCACAGCAGGCGGCGCAACAATGTCATGCCACAAGAGATGGCCATACACGTATATATGTAAATATAGTATATACATACATATGCATGGTGCTCTCTGGCATCGGGCCAAGAAGAAGTTGTGCTGCTGTCAATACAAATTGCCGACTAAATGTCAACCAAGTGGCCAAGTGTGCCCGCTCGCTGGCAATCTTTTATTAATGCGCTTAAGCATGGATCAATGTACCGGAAGAGGAGGCGGCAGCAGAGGCGGACGGGAGGACAAGTGTTTGCATTTTACTTACGCGACCCGCCCGCATATTGCAGCTGAACTCAATGCGCGTCGACAGATTCATGCTCTTGTCCTCGGGACACGGATCGCCATTCATGTAGAGAAGTTCGGCTCTTTTGCGATTACTGGCGGTCAGTGCGACCAGGGGGAAGCCCAGGCTCTGTAAAGACAAAGAGTGCAAAAATTATACACTAATCAAAATTTTGCATTTCAAATCCTTTTAATAATAAGTAAAAGCTATACTTTACACGTTATTCAATTTTATGAATATTTTAATTTAACATTATTTGAATTTAGATTTAATCCTAATTGTAATGTTCAATTATAGCCAGGACAACTAAGTGCTTCAGGCAGATTTACAGAATTATTATTGAGATTACTATCAAGAATAAAAGAAAACGATTGGGAGAATAATAAAAAATTAGATTTTTAGATTTCATCATAAAGCAAACATTCGGTTTTATTCAAAAATGTAGGTCACGCCAGGACGACTTTTCTATACTCAATACTCCTGTAATTTTAATTCGCTTACCAATTGAAACAACAAACAAGAGAGAACGCTACAGTCGAGCAAGCCCGACAGTGTAATACCCTGTACCCAGGTAAACTTCCGTCACTGAGTTATATGCGCCCATAGCAGCAGCAAAAAGAGGAAGAAGAAGAGCGAACTTGCTGCTGCAGTTTGGGGGGGTTGTACTGGCGAGGATTTGTTTTGCTAATAACTTCTTCTTAGAACTGACCGAATTGAATAAAATTTTGAACAACAGTAGACAATTATATATAAATTATGTGTGTAAAGTTTGGTTTAGGTAGCATTTGAAATGTGGACGCTATTGACGAAATTCTGTAGCGGGGGAAGGGGGGGAAAATTAAAAAAAAAAACATAAACTCGTCCTTACTCGGACCTAGGAGAATCTGGATGCCAACTTTGGTTATTCTAGCTTTTATAGTTTCTGAGATCCTCGCGTTCATCCAGACGGACGGACAGACGGACGGACAGACGGACGGACATGTCTAGATCGATTTCTCTCGTCATGCTGATCAAGAATATATATACTTTATGGGGTCGGAGATGCTTCCTTCTATATGTTACATACTTTGCACAAACCTAATATACCCTTTTTACCCTACGGGTACAGGGTATAAAAATTCCACAACACAGTAGGCATGATGTATATATAGCTGTTTCGGAATATACATATATTTTCTTTATCATCAAACCTCCTCGAGTCAGAAATATCAACTTAAAACTGATTTAGACACACATATAGCTCACATCTATGGGGGAATGCTTGTGCCAGCAATCTGGTTATTATTTAACGAACCCAATTATAAACTCTAAGAACCCTCACTGGAGCTCTTTGATATATTTGCAACGAATGCATTTACAGCAACATTATAACAGTTTAACACTTTATAACTTAAATATTTGATTTTATGTCGCCTACAACCAATAACAAACCTTTTATATACAAAATGCCATTCTTCTTAAATGTTTCTATAAAGTTTAAAACAAGCTTATTTTAAATTCTGCGTGAATCAAACGCACCAAACTTGTAAAACCTTCCCTGCTGACCCTACACCAACAAGATTATTATTGAAAGGATCTCAAATACAATTTGAATGAAAAAAGTTTCGCATAGTTTTAATTTATATGCACAATTCCCGTTTGCTTTTTTCCAGTGTGCATATGTATTCGTAGATATATATTGTATATATACATTTATAGTGAAAGTTATGAGTGCGGGGCCACAAGCACGCAAGTACAAAATGTTTTACTCAATGACTGTGATTGCAACGAATAACTAGAAAACTCTGCCTGGCTGTGAGTTACGCATGTATGTACACATACATACATACATGTATGTATAGAGAACTTTGTTGAGTGTGTGTGTTGTTGTTGCCGCACAGTCAAACGGCCAACAACGACACAACAAACAACAACCGTTTGAGTGGCCAACATATCGATGATGATAACTGGTAGACAGAGCGGCCAGGCAGCGAGCTCTTCAAATACTCAGACGTTATGCCATTCAGCCGACAATCCAGTAACCCAGCAACCAATACGGCACAAACGATGTTTTAATGGTGGCCAAGACAACCGACAACAAAGCCAAGGCATCAAAAGTGCTTCGAACAACAGACAGAAAGATACAAATATTGTTTACGAGGAGATTCCATGAAAATGTTCGTCCCATTTACGCGAAAGTTAAAAAAGCCGGAGCTTTAGTATTCGATAATCTTTTATCCTGCCACTTGGCATTTGTCTAATTTAAAGCGTTTTCACACAAACTCATCCATTGTTAGGAAGATTTCTCTAGAAGTTGGGTTGGTTTCCATATTAATTAATAAACATTTTCTCTTAAAAGAAAGCTACTTTTCAGATGCGCCTGTTTAAGTTTTAATACTTTTTAAAATATGGTACTATCGCTATATACATTTTAGTGTATTAGTATTTACTTGACGACTTGTTCACATAAATTTCTATTAGTTCAATCCCACACGCCAAATCGTATCCAAACTTATTGTCGCCTGTGCTTGTGGCTGCAGTTTCCGGCAGTCCACAGCACGGCTTGCCATCGTCCTTTCAATGCAACCGCTGCTATTGGCAGCCAAGCTTAAAGACAGTGGGGCAGCCAACTAGCCAGCCAGCCAGCCAGCGAACCAGCCAGAGAGCCAGTCAGCCATCCAGCTATCGAGCGACGTGAGCTTAATCCCCAAAAAGCATCGCGTTGGACAGCGACAGTGCAGCAAGTGCAACAGTCGTTGGCCTCCAAGATTTATGCCCGGGTCAGCGACAACATCAGGATCAGCATCGGCATCGGCATCAGGATGAGCATGAGAATAAGGGTAGGGGGAGGGGGAGGGCCAACACTGCACATGTTGTCGTCTCATCTTAAACGTATTAGTAACAAGCTTCGACTGCTCATTTCGCATGCAGCTCATGCAATGTTTTAGCAGTTTGTTCCGTTATTTATGGCCAAGCTGTCCGCTTGCTGGCACATTTCTTTAATCAATGTTGAATATATGTTTGTACGTATCGCAGTCCGAAAGTGCATTGAAACTTCAAATCTCGGCTAATTCGGCATTAGCAAAGAACTGACCAAACTGTTGACCTTCAACGCATTGCGCGCTCATTAGCAAAATGCTGTTAGGTGGGGGCCTGTGGGTTGTTGGGTGGTTTGTTGGTGGCACTGTGGCGCCAGCTTAACGGTTTAGCCAAATGCTCCGGCAAGTTACTAAAAACTTGCTGTGCTAAATTTATTGAAAAACTTTCTTATCGCATTTGAACAAGCTGAAAAAATATATGTATGATTGTACATAAGTATAAGTATATGTGTACGAGTATGTATCCCTTTGTTAGTGTGTTTCTTAATGCTGCTGCTAATGTTTTTTTTAGGTTCTGTAAACTTTTCTCTTAAGGCAGTTGAGGAAAGCAAAAAAAAAAAATAAACACTAAATAGAAACGGCAGAAGAGCGGAAAACAAAAAGTAACTTAATTGTTTGCAGATACAAATAAATAAGTAGGGCAACAACAAAAAACGCAGGAAAGTAAAATAAAACAGAGCTAACAACGTAAAAGCCAAAAGAAAAAACTGTATTTGTTGTAGAAGAGCTGTAAAAGCACGAGCTCGAGCAAATAAAGTGAATCTTAAGATGCAGCAGAATAGTATAAGGATTAAGCGCTAATTGGAAACCCTACACGCAAACAGATTTCCTTTTATCAAAGGGCAGAAGAAACTTAAACTTAATAGCATTGCAATCGAAAACATTCAGTTGTCATTTGAACTTTTTCTCGTAAGTATTGTGAAGGGAAATTTAAATAGCAGCGCCACAATAAGAAAATATATTAATTAACACATTACTTTGCATACTCATACGTTAACTTAAATATTAAAAAGTGAATGAGTCTGTAACATGAGAAATCAATTATTATATACATTTTAGTTTTAAAGAAAGAAGATGTTGCCTTGCAGGCAAACCACTTCATTCTTTCCAAACTGTAATGCTTGACCAACTGCTCAGCTCAGACGGTCACTGATACCTTAAATCAAAGCTTCTCATGTTGTACGAGTATTTGTATAAAAAGTTTTTAGAAAGAAAACAAAAAGCGAAAGCTTAAGTTCAAAAGCAATAAAGATTTGTGCAAGTTCAGCGTTTGGCTTGGGAGAGTTTAACTCTGCAAAGGACAGATAGGCCAGCGATGGCTACACTTTACTCTTGAGCATCAAATGTCCTGCGGCGACATTCACAACACGAGTCCTACGAATTGAAGAGTGCTGAAGGGCAGGACAATCGGCAGTTTGAAACAGTTCGGCAGACAGATGAGTATACACTGAACAACTTCTGCTTGGATGTTGCGCCCGGCATCTGATAAAACAGACGCTCAGGAATGCGTACAGCAACAAAGGCAACAAACGACATTAACTAGGATAATAATAAGCACAATGGCGCATATAACTACTCTCCCCACATAATGGGCTGTACAGAGGTTTGGAAAAGATGCCACACAATAGAGCGGGGAACAGACAAGTGGGGGGTTTGCCATTGAGCAGTCACTCAAAGGAATTGCTGTTTACACAGCAATTTTATCAATTTCATTATTAATATATATGTTCCACATCCTGCCCGGCAGCTGACAGACAGGCAGCAGGAAGGCAGGCATTTCCAAATAATTTCATTCTGTTATTCTGCTTGTGCAGGCATAGACTCCGTTGCTTCAATTAAAGGGGCGCAAATGTGTCGCACATTAACACGACGCGAATTGGCATGCCAAGCACACGGTACACGGCACCCGGCACATGCCAGAATCATGAGGCATCATGCCACTCCACATTTTCAGCTGCACAAGTCAAACGGTGCAGGCAACCATCCAGCGAGGCATGACAATGAGCAGCAACGAATTTTGACACTGCCACTAGTCACACGATAATCAAAAATCAAACGTGCCAAGCCGAAAAGTCGCGTCGTATTGCCGTGTCAGGCCATTCAAGTGGCAGCTAAAGAAATTCTACAAGACGCTGCATTCGGAAATCGCAAAAGGATGTGCAGCGACAGCATAAGCAGAAACTTCCAGCTGCTGAAGTTCAAGCGACAGCATATTAAAATATACGCAAAACGACTTCGGCGTGCAAATCAAACAAACAAAATGCCAAGTTTCTGCGCAACCAGGGAGTGGGAATATGGCAATGGCATTTCTAGGAGTGGGATGGGCGTTCGACAACTGTCAATGAGAGAGTAGGCGGATAGACGAGAGCTCCAAGTATACGACAATAGGGTACAGTGACGCGGAAACAAAATCCATGAATTGTTCAATTGCAGAAAAGACAGAGTTTAAATAATTCATCTCAGCAGCTCAACTAAACACAAACATTTTTCTCCCAAACATACAACTAAGGAACCATTAACGAAAGCTTACACATAACAAAAGATAAATTATTTCTTGTAAACTGAAATAGTGCAGGAAAAGAATCCATGGAAAATGAATCCATATCAATAATATAAAAAATCGCACAGTTTTTATCCTGCAGCAAACCTCCCAATTTTGACAAAAATATTACACATTTCTCAAGCACTGGAAAAATGAAGCCACTGTTCGGCTTAGCAGCGCCGCGATTGCCAACACCAGTAGCTAGCAGCTAGCACATTTCCGTTTCCGCACACGAAATGCGCACAAGACTGAACAATTTCAAAATGCAAAACGTGGTACAAATGTCAACAGGAGTTCGCTGTCTGTGTTGCATGTGTATCTGCATCTGTTTGTGTGACTCTGCCGTGGAAATAAAGCAAAAATAAATTTTATAAAAATATAAAACGCATGCTACGGCCGCGGTATTTTCAGGCTAGCGGCATGCAAACAACGCCAATGGCACTTTCCTCACGGTCGGTCACCCATGCCCCATGCCCAACCACCCATTCACCAGGCTCTACATACGATGCCGCGGCACTTGCAACCACCTACAGCCCCCCACAATTCGGAAATGTTTTGCACAGCACGTCGTAGTCAACACATACTCGATTCACACACACACACACACACACACACACACAACCGAATGCCTGGCATGAGGGCTGGCCGCTAAAAGCTGCTTTTAGCCACCGCCATTTTGCCATATCCTTCCGTTCCGTTTCGTTACGTCGCGTCGCATCGCATCGCATCGCGCTGCGTTACGTTAGTTGGGGTTACGACATTACGTTAGACGACACATGGATATAAATATATTTCTCTCGCATGCGGCTGGTACCCCTGCACTTGCTGGTACCGCCTCCCCAAGCCCGCACGTACGTGCTTATTTTTATCAACTTCAACAATGTTTCGCTCAAGGGAAATTTGTGCAGAATGTGATAAAATTGCCGGCGAGGCAGCAAAACAATGCACGGCTGACATATGGCTAAAGATTTGCCTATATAGCATAGTTGCAGTGCCGCTTTCGTGAATTGGGTTGCTTACGTTGGCATTATAATTCATATGACTATTCTTGCCTTCCACTTAACGTGAAGGCGAAAATAAATTTTGAATGTTAACAGAAGACCACGAGGGGGGAAATTGAAAAAATTTTGTCTCGAACGGAAAATCAAAGCAGCCCCAGAATAAGAAATAATAATAATAAGAAACACACGATAGACAAGCAATGGCTTATAGATTAATGTTTTTAATTTGTTATTAGACATATCATTAAAAACTGTTTTGAAGAAGCATTGTAAAAACTCTTATTGAAATACAGATGCTTTAAATCTGAATGTTTGGATTCAATGCCATGTGACCATAATATTATTAATTATAATTATTAATATTCATGATTATTAACAAATGAAAAACACATGGAAAATTGAAATACATTTGGAATTTAAAATATAAGTTATATATTTCTCTCGTCATGATGATCGGAGTCGGAGATGCTTCTATTTGCCTAACAAACTAACCTAAAAGAAAAAAATGTTTCGTTTTTAATCTGATGTGGAAATATCTCTTTGGTCCGATCGAGCTTAAACAAAAACATTTACTTAATCTCAATTAGAAACATTTCGTTTCCGTTATGTTGCTTTCGTCTGCTGGTTGCCAGTCAAAAAAAAAAAAAAAAAAAAAAAAAAACAGGAATGCCATATCAAGCAAATTTCATAGCATACTTTTGAGGGCTTAAGTATTTAGACACTGTGCCAGCAGCCTTAAACCCATAAAAACACACACTGAAAGAGAGAATGCGCCTGGGTAAGGGCGTGGTAGAAATTTTTGTCGTTTAGCAACTCTCAACTGCCTGCCGACTGAACAAGTCGGCTTTTCAACTGTCAACAGCAGTCAAGCTGTCGAGCAGAGAAAGCAACAACAGCAGGGGGTGCATAATGAAGTAACAAAATCTACTGACCAGCCAGCACGACAAATTGTGAACGTGAGTGGGGTTTGGCAATTAGAATCCAGCATATTTAATGCATGAATTAGTAGAGGCCACAATGTTGAGCATTTGACACGAGGGGCAACTGGCGATATTAAAGCATTTATAGCCGACAACGCGAAAACCGACCGTAATGGTCAAGTTGGGGCGGCGAAAATGGCGCAAATTACGTGAACTCACACACACACGCACATACACAGCGACTAGCTCACATGGACATCCACCTCTAAGCACTTAAGCCTTGTTGGACGTTCGAGCATAAGCCGCTTTCTTTTTAGGCCACTACATACTATTATCCCGTTCCCCCCCATCTCCCCAGAACTACGAGTATACTTACACGCTCCTCCTCGGGCGCACCGGACGCAGTCACTTTGGCCATGCATGCGCTCGAGCCTCCAGCGCAGCCTAATTGGTATTTCGGCACTAATGGACGGCACACATTTAGAAAGAACTGTGGAATAGCAGAAAAGACAAAAGGCATGAAATTAGTAAGGAGACAGAAGCGACAAAATGCCAAGCAGATCGCGTCTGGGGAAATCAGCGTGCTCTCCAATCTCTACAAACCAAATTACACTTGAAAAATTAAATAAGCTTTCAAGTTACTGGATTTCTCAATATTAAAGAAGCCAAATCATATAAATATACTTAGCATTTATTATAAAGGAATTATTTCTTATAAGAATGAAAATAATGAGGAACTTCTCCTGTCTGAAAAGAACCTTATAATAGTTCTCATTAATAGCTCTCATAGCAGAAATATAATGATGGAAATTGAAAGCATACATTTCTTTCCTTTTATTCTATAACTCTGTAATCTGATATTTTGATTTGAATAGATTACGTTTCTGAGATCTAAGTATCTAATTAATATTATGGAATTCCAATTTTAAAATTGAATATTACATTTCTTTAATACATGTACATTTACTTTTTTTTAATCCATTGAAAAACTATTGCAAGCAGAAGAAGCAACCAAGTATATAAGTAGCTGCACTTTGTTTATAATTTTTTTAAGTGTACTTACCTTAGTATCCTTGGACAGCTTTTCGGTCATATTTTCAGGAACTACAGCTTCATAGTTCATGCTGGCACTAATCAAAGGCGTCAAATCGACATTCTCCATACCGCCACTTCCAGTGCCATCTGCCGTATTCTGCACAAAGACCGGGACACTGCATGTAATCTGCTTATGGCAGGCGTAGGGTGTCTGATATTGAATTAACAACTGGCAATTGGAGTCCTCAATTATTTTCACAGCATCTACACCGCCTTTGTCCTTGGTGGCATTGTTCGCACAGACAAATTCAATTTTCGTAGTCCAGGGCGTAGTGCCTGACGATATGCGACAATTGGCGCCGCCCTCGTACAGCAAATAGGGCGAGCCGCTCTGATTGAAACGCAAATTCGAATTGACGTTGCCCAAGCTGGTGGTCTGAGCGTTTTGTTCGAAGCAGGCGCCTGTAAAAAACGAAGCAATCAAACAAGCGCATGAGTGTGTATGTTTGAATTTTTGTTCAACACAAAAAACAAGAAGCGGGCTAAGTGATGTCAGACAAAAAAAAAAGAGAGAGTCAAAGCCAAAGCAAAAATCTAGCCACCACGCCTGCAGTTGCAGTCCGGTTGGTCGACTGTGCTAATGGCTGCCAAACAAAAGCGCCTTTTGTGGCCCAACTGGCGCCCAAGCTCGGACAAGGAGCGCGCATTGTGCGTCAGATGCTGCCAAATGGAGCACTTGTCGACGTTCATCAAGGCAGAAATTAATTGGTGTTTCAGCCATGCACAGGTTTATCCTAGATGCCCCCAACAGGTGCAGGATTTGTTCACGTTTGTGTCGATCAACATGCAACATCCACTTGCATGAGAACCTAATTTCCCATTACGACAACTGAAGTATGTTCAGTCAGCGTTCAGTACACAGAAGGTAGCATCAGATAAGTCAGTACCTATTTCCATTTTCAAACTATGTAGTTATCAATTAGTTCAGATGTCCTAGAATGGCAATTCTTTAGCAGCTTTTATTCTTATTCAATTCTTATGCAAGCCTTTCAGACTACAAATCTCATATCAAAAGTTATTCAGCTATAAACGTATGTGTTGCAGAACGGGAAATAATCGTTGATCAAATTTGAAAAAACTAATCAAAAATCGCGTAATCATGCAGACTGACACAGTATTTAATTGATTTGAAAAAATGACAAAAATAAAAAAAAATTGAAACAATGAAAGCTGTGTGAATTTTAAAATATTCAAAAACTAATTGATAGTCTCCTTTTATTAAAATCAAAAAATATATAAAAATGTAAAATGAAAAAAACATTTTAAAATATGTAAATTGGTTTTTAAACGATTCGGTTTTTATTATTCAATATTTTCTGAGGCTCTTTACTTTTAACACATTTTTGTATACCCTGAAGAGTCGTATGAAATCGTGCTGAGTTATGTTTCAACAAAAAGAACATTTTCGAAGTAAGCTAAGTTGAAATAATTTAACTTTTAAGCTCATTTGTAAATAAAAAACACTAGTTAGTAATGGATTTTATAAATTCGTATTATAGTTTCAAATGCAAATACTACTTACGTCTAGATTAAAAATAATTGAAAACATTTCGATTAATACTTGACTCACATTTTTTTAAAAATTTCTTCATTTATAAGTAACCTTGGTTTTTTAGATTCGTTTCAATGTATTTTAATTAGTCATCCACATTCAAATTAGGGAAATGATGAATAACTCTATAAAATCCCTACCTTCAAATTAGTTTCAGAAGCAACCGAACATTCCATTTCTCGATCAGCAATTGAATTTTATATTTAAAATACCTGTGCTGGAGCCCAAATGCTTTATCCATAAGCTCGCCCAGCACACAATCAATTGGATGCCTGATTTTGATTGAGTATCCTATAGGAGACAGCATGGCGATTGTGATTTGACTAGAATATGGTAATTTCCCACACCCTAATGCGCCCTCTCTGACTTGTCTCTTTTCGTACTTTATTGCACATGCCAGACAGCATCAGACAACAACAAACAAGCATTCATTTCGTTCGCTTTTTGATATGCGTCAGCTCGCACAGGACGCACAGGTTAACATCACTGTGGCAGGACCAAGCCAAAAAATGAGGACAAAAATAACGACATAGAATCCCAGCCAGCTAACGAGAAAACGACTACAAAACGAAAAAGGCGAATTGAAGTGGCTTTTCAAATCGAAAAGAAATCGACTGTCCACTAAATTGATAAATGACGTTGTATAGAGCTGCGTGACAATATATTCTATGCTGCAGTCTGAATCTACATACATATAGTGTGTATAAATACTCTTTTGTATATATAATGTATATATGTTTTACTATGTCTGCAGTTCTTCTTTGAAAAGTTTATAGTAACTTTTCTGACTGTTCAAGTTAAGCCTGTTTTGCTATTAAAATTCAGATGTTACGATCGAATAGACGAATAGGACGCCATGATTTGAAACAAACAATACATTGATTGATATCTTTTCGCATTTGCATCGGTTTTGTGTTTATGCTTAGTGCACAGTACAAAAGTCCCAAGAATTACTTAAGGTTTGGAAAATCGCTTATACCTATGGATCAGGGGTAAAGGAGAGAATTCTAGATTTAAAAAATGGAAATTTAGAGGTCATGATTTTTTTTTTTTTTTTTTTTTTTTTTTTTTTTTTTTTTTTACATATATACAATTTATTAAACTAGTTTTCTACTACCAATATGGCAGCTTAAGCTAGTTGAAAGTTAGGGAATACAAAAGTTGTCTATAGTAAGCATCTATAGGACGCACTTATATCTATGTACATATATACAATATTTACAATGTTTTACATTAGAAATGAAATTATATTTTATGATATATATTATATATTTTATACAAGGGATCTTGTGGGGAGATCCTTTGGATGGCACTTCTTCAATCTTCTCTTCTTAGGTTTGGACAGGAGCCGCCTCGCTAGTGCGTTGGGGTGACTGCCGAGTCGCTTCTCGTAATTGCTTGCGTGCATTTGAATGACATCGCCAACCTTGGGGACACATAAGTCTCTTTCGATGTCCCTAGTGCGCATATACCAGGGAGCGTTGCATATTTTTCTGAGTATTTTAGCTTGCGCAACTCTTATTTTATTTAGGTTCGATGCAGCGGCAATGCCATAAATTGGTAGCGCATACTTCCATATTGGACTTAATATGGACTTATATACTGTCACCTTACTGTGCAGAGACAGCTTGTTGCAGGGTGCAAGCAGCCATGCCATCTTTCCGGCTTTTGCCATGACCGATCGCTTGACCATTGTTGTATGCTTGCTGAAGTTGAGCCTTCTGTCCAGAATGACACCAAGATATTTGTGCGAATTTGTATGACTGAGCGTGGACCCCAACATTGTGATATCTCCGCATGACGACGGCCTTGTTGTAAATGTGACATTCGCACACTTGCTGGCGTTGATACCAATGTTCCAATTCAGAGCCCACTTCTCGAAACTACTTACATACTGCTGTAAGGCTTCCGAAGCTACATCGATATCTCTGCTTCTGGTAAGCACCGCAGTGTCGTCTGCGTAAGTAGCTATTAGTGCGTCATCCTCGTATACTCCAAGGATCTCTTGCGGTGCAGGCATATCAGCAGTAAATAATGTATACAGGGTAGGACCCAGAACACTGCCTTGGGGCACTCCTGCACAAATTGAGCGCCTCGTGGATTTCACTCCATCAACAGCAACTCTGAAGCTTCTGTCCCTTAGAAAGCTTTCGATGAGTTGAAACAATTGAGGAGTTAGTATGCCTTTCAATTTGCAGAGGAGACCATCATGCCACACTCTATCAAAAGCTTGTTTAATATCCATAAACACAGCCACTGAGTACATCTTTTGCTCCATGGCTTCCAGGGCGAAGTTGACCACACGGTGGAGCTGTTCCGGTGTTCCGTGACTTCTTCGAAATCCAAATTGCCATTTTGGAATTCTGCGCGTCACGGCTTCGAGCTGGAGAATCCGGTCCAGAATCACGCGTTCCATCATCTTCCCGAGGGCAGGTAGCAGACTAATCGGCCTATATCCATCTACTTCAGTATGCTGTTTCTCTGGCTTTGGAATCATCGTAATTAGCGCCATTTTCCAGCAGTTTGGAAAGTGCCTCAGCCTGAGTATGTTATTCATGAGCAAAACAATATACAGCAGAGCCCTTGTGGGGAGCAGTTTCAGCGTCCTGTTGTCTAAAAGGTCTTCTCCAGGCGCTTTTTTGACCTTTAGATTTTTTATCTGCTGTACCACTTCTTGCAGTGTAACTGGGCTTGCAGGCAAGGCCATTTGGAATGGCATCTCCAGCCTAAGCTCGACTACCCTTCGCCTATCTGCTGATGTAAAGTCAAAAGGCTTAAATCTTTCCTCTAGGCTGTTTGCAAAGATTTCAGCTTTCTGCTGACTGGAATAGCTCCATCCACCTGAAGGATCCTTAATTGGAGTCTTAGGGATGACCAGCCTCTTGAATCGCCTCGTAAGCTTCCAGAGCGAGTAATTAAATGATGCATCTGGACCAGCACTTTCCAATATGTCATCAATTCTGCCTTGTCTGATTTTAGCAAGCTCTTTTTGCAGTCGATTGGACAGTCTTTTGTAGATTTGATGAATGCGAGTATCTCCAGTTCTTGCATATTCTTTCCTGACTCTTCTTTTCAGGCTTAAGAGCGCAGCAGCCGTTGGTGGTAGACTAGCTTGACTATGTTGGGTTGGCAAGCGTAAAGTTTTCGGTGCAGCAGAAGACGCAGCCAGTGAAATGTTCTTCATGAGGATTGATATCGCGTCTTCGATATCCTCTGGGCTGTTAATTTCGACGTTCAGGTTAATTCTTCTTTCGAGATCGGCTTTAAAAACATCAATACGGGAGCCAGGTGGTAGAATATATTCCCTCTTGGGATTATATTGCGGTGCATGATGTAGCGTCGCTACTACTGGAAGGTGATCCGATGCGAGCTCATATTTTGTTTCAACGGTGAGTCTGTTTAGGGCAATCCTGTTGACAATAAAGAAGTCTAGTGCAGAGGGGTTAAGCCGTGTGTTGTAAGAGTAGAAAGTTGGCTCTCCAGTAGCAAGAACTTGGCAAGTAGTACTAGCTATGGCCTCTTGCAAACACCTTCCTCGCCTGCAAGATCTGGAATTACCCCACCATTGGTGTTTTGCATTAAAATCACCGCCTACAATAAACTTATCTCCTAAGGTTGCAAGCAATAGATCAAAGTCGGCCCTGCACCAAGCTTCATTGGGAGGAAGATATAGGGAGGAGACTTTGATGCTTCCACCATTCGTCGGTATAGTTACGCTGGCCGCTTGGATGCTTGTTTTTAGAATTGGCTCATTCTGTGAATGAGCGATACTTGATCTAATGATGACTGCAGAACCACTTTTAGCGGTGCCACTGGGATGATTAGCGTAGTACTGGTCGTATCCTGGCAA